TAATAACAAATAATCTTCAAATAACAATTTATCCTCATCCTAAAATGTAAACATACATTTTTTTTTTTCCCCTCTCTGAAAAAGTTAAACATTTAACTTCTTGTGCTCAGTGAAGAAATTGCTGTCACAGACAGAATAGTTCTGATAATTAGTTTAGAGTTTTAAAATGACTATTGGGTTTAAAACTCCATATTAAAATAAATTTCATTTTAAGTCACCTTCATTTCTTCTTAGGAACTATTATTATGCTCATAAAAGATTTGCAAACTACATCTATTATAATTCTGCCCTTGATACTTTAAAGAATGTCCAAATTATGTGCAATGGATCATAATAGAGAGTAAAAATGCTTAAAATATCTTATATCTAAAAAATTGAGTAGGACAATATATATTGTATACACAGCATGCAAATTTTATATATAACATACCAAATGTACATGTATGTGTAAATACCTTCTGATTGGTATATGTGTAAATTGATTTTACAGTTGCCAAAAGAAAACATTTTTATTGTAGTGTTTGGTAAGCTAATTGATGTAGTTCAGGCTTATTTCAATGCTCCTAATTTTCGAAAAGTGGTAGTACCCCTGATTTTGGAGACTCCTCTTACACTGAAGCCTGCAAATCATTTTTTATGATTCTGGATCCTAATTTTTTTGTTAAGGGTTATTGATGATTAACAGTATTAGTCTAGCTGACCAATAAATTACAGCATAAGCCACATATGGAATTATGAATTTTTCGTACTCACATTAAAACAGTAAAAAGAAACAAATGAAAATTTGATGACATAGTTTACTTACTATATCCAAAAGAGTATACTGTATTTCAACATGTAATCAATAGTTTTTAAAATTGAGTTATTTTATTTTCCTTTTTTGACCACACTAAGATCTTTAAAACCCAGTGTGTATTTATACTTACAGTGCATCTTAATGTGGACTAACCACATTTCAGTGGCTCAATAGCCATGTGTGACTAGAGGCTGTGCATATCCAGCCCATCTCTTAATATTTTGAAGCAAGAAGGTCTCGCAGAAATAAAGACATCACTTGGCTCGGTGTTTTTTTTTTTTTCCTTTGTCCCTTAGGAATTATGACATTTTGTCTCATTTATTAATTAATATGCATACTTAAAAGTTCCAGAAACAATAAACAGTCCAAAGCAATCTCCCTCCTGGTGCTTTTCTCTGGCTTCTTCAGTTCTTTTTCTTGGAGGCAAAATATTATGACCAGTTTGTTGTGTATTCTCCCAGAGCTGACTTTATGTTTCTTTTTGTAAATGTGTAAGTGTGGCATTCTTATAGATACTTTTCTACAGCTTGCTTTATTTTATTTAATTACTTAAAAATATTTCTATCTAAAAATATAGATTGTTCCCTTTTGCTTTTGAAAAAGATTGGGCATACCTCATTTCACATATATATGAGCATACTTGTTAGATACGTTCTTAAAACTGAAGGGTCAAAAAAAGTTTCCATGAAATTCTGTAGATACTGCTAAAGTGTACTTCGTGGTATTAGTATTAATTTTGACTCCCAAGAACCATGCAAGAGAGTGTCTGTTTCTCTACATGCTAGCCAACATAGTGTATTGTCAATATTTTTTTATCTTTTTCAATTTCAGAAAAAGGGTGTCTTGTTGCAGTTTTAACGTGGATACTGCATATCTTTTGAAATATTTAAGAGGCATTTGCATTTTATAATCTGTGAACTGTCCATGTCTTTTGCTCATTTTTCTATCAGATGATAGGCATTTCCTTGTCCATTTCGATGAGTTTTATATATTAAGAAAAGTTTTATGTGACTTTTAACTTTGCTTATGGGTTTATTTTAGCGTGCATAAATTTTACTGAACTTTCTAGTGTTTTATGCCTTTGAGATATTGAGTCACAAAGAACTTACCCAGTCATTAGATAATTTTTTTTAAGTTTTCTGAGAATGCTGTGTGTGTGTGTGTGTGTGTGTGTGTGTTGGGGTGGGGGGGGTGTTGTTTCATGCTCAGATTTCAAATCCATCTAGAATTCATTTTCATATAAGATGTATGGGATAGATTCAACTTTGTTGTTTTCTTCAGAAGACTATCCAATTGTTTTAATATATTTATTTCAAATGTCATTACCTCAAACCACATTTCTTTTTGTATCTATTTCTGGACATTCTAGTCAATTCCATTTCCATTGGTCTTATTAACACTCTAACAGCTGTCAGTGTGCAAGTATAAGCTGTTTGAATACATAGCTCTAGTTGCTTTCAAATATTTTTTAAATTGGCTACTTCCCTGTTCAGGCTCCATTATGATTCTTTTTCAGATTATTCCAGCCACCCAATGTGTTTATTTTTGCCCATGAACTTTAGAATTAGCTTCTTTAATTCCTCAAAACATTCTGCTTCATTTTTATTGAGTACATTAAATGAATAGGTTAATTTGACAACTATAAAAGAACATATACCTTTCTACTTGTTTTAAACTTTTATTCAACTAGTTCTTCCCATTTTCTTTTTAAGTGTATTTCTGGTGTGTGTGTGTGTGTGTATGTTTTTTCTATTACTGTATTTTATTCCACAAAAATTTCTGACTGGTTGTTGCTTTTATATATATAATGGGTATTGATTTTTTTATTTCTTCAGCTATTTTACTGACTTCTCATCAACTCTAACAGTTTTTCAGTTGAAAATCTTGGTTGACCAGTGTACAGTCTTATCTGAAAATAATGATAACTTTAGTGTTGCTTTCCAGTGTTAATATTTTATTTCTCCCACTGTTTCATTTGTCTTGGTTAGTAAGGAATGGGTACTTTAATAGCCCAAAGACAAAATAGTCTTGATTCTTTTTTCTACTTACATTCTTAAAATAAATGTGATGAGAAAAAACTATGGGAAAAAGTGAACAGGGCAGCATTCACTTTATATAATGGATTATTTATGGTTTTTAGTGCCCATTTCTTCCTGCATTTTCTAACATTTGTACTTTGAAATATCCATCAATATTAGTCTCAAAAATGTTTGAATGAAGAAATGATCATTAGATGAGCAAATGTATATCAATCTAGTGATACTGATTGTATGCTTACTTTATCCTAAACACAAACATGAACAGAGTAGATATTTTTAAGGAGTTTATAGTCCAGTAAGAGAGTAAAATGTAATTGAGTGTGATATGTTTAGTGATAGAGCTTATAAAAGATAAAGAAACAGCATAGAAAGGGGGATGATTAATCCTCTTGGAACATCGAAGGAGGAATCCTAGGGTGTGATATCTGAGACAGTTTTAGAGGGATGCATAGAGTCCCTGGCTGCATAAGGGGACTGAGAAGGCATTCTGGGCAGAAAATACAGAAGTGTCACAGTATTTGTAAGCTGCTGTTGGATTATATACTGAGAAGAAGTAGGAGGAGAGAAATACAGAAACCTGCATATGAAAAACCGTTTATATTAGGTAAGAATTCTCAATAAAAGTGACAGCCAGGCCCAGTAGAAGAAAACAGATTCACCTAGAAAGGGCATTTTATGAACTATACTTTTCATCCATGTCCAATCCCCTGGGATGTTAACATTAAAGGCAGTATGCCTTATCTTCCAGGTGTGTTTGAGAAAAAGAGTTGGGGAACTACTAATGCAGGCAATATAAAGGCAGTAAAGTTGTTAAGGAGAATATGACATCAGATTTGCATTTTAGAACCTCCCCTTTGATAACAATTTGAAGGAGCCTTGGGGACTGGGGAGGAGACAGACAGGGCTATGGGAGAAACTTTAAAAAGTCACTGTGATTGATAATGAAGCAAGATCATGTAAGTGTGGCTACCAAGGGACAGTGAAGAAAATTCAAGGAATAGATAGGAAATGGAATTGATAGCTTAACAATGGTTTGCTATGTAAGGTGCTAGAGAAGACAGAAAGGAGAAATGTCTTTCTCCATTTTTCTTAGCATTTTCACACAAAGAATTATTTGGGAAGGAAATTGATAATATTCACTAATGCAGTATGACCTTCCCACATGACCTGTTGATTTTGATCACCCTTTTCTTTATGACCGTAAATATTTGACAGTTGCTGGAAAGACAAGAATAGTCATTTCTTCTTACAATATATTTCTAGAAGTGGGATCACTGGGTCAAATGGCAGTTCCATTTTTAATTTTTTTGAGGAAACACAATATTGTTTTCCATAGTGGCTGCACCAGTCTGCATTCCCACCAGCAGTGTGCTAGAGTCCCCTTTTCTCCACACCCTCGCCAGCACTTGTTGTTTGATGATTTGTTGATGGCAGCCACTCTGGCAGGTATGAGGAAGAAGCCTGAAATACTAACCAGAAAGAATATATGTACCCCTATGTTCATAGCAGCACTATTTGTAATTGCTAAGATTTGGAAACAGCCCAAGTGCCCATCAGTAGATGAGTGGATAAAAAAAGCCGTGGTACATATACACAATGGAATACTGTGCAGCTGTAAGAAAGGAAGGTCTCTTACCTTTGTGACGATATGGAGGGACCTGGGGAGTATTATGCTGAGCTAAATAAGCCAGTCGAAGAGAGAGAAATACCACATGATCTCACTTATTTATGGAACAGCATGAACAGAATAATCTGACAATCAAATATAGATCCAGAGACATGGAAGTAGAGAATAGACTGACAAATTTCAGAGGGAAGGAGTGTGGGGGATAGGATAGGATAGGAAGAGATAAACCAAAGAACTTATTTACATATATACATAACCAATGGACACAGACAATAAAATGGGGAAGGCAGGAGTGGGTGTGGGAGTGGGGAGGAGGTCAAAGGCAGGGGGAATATCTGTAATATTCTGAACAAAGATAAAAAAAGAATAGTCATTTCTTGAGTAGCTACGGGTCATCACTCTGAAATGTGAAAATGAGTATGACAATTTGCTATGTCTAGGAACTCCCAAATTATTCACAACATGAGTATTCTCAAAATATGTCACTAGTGTTAGATACGTATTAATGCACTGTGATTTTTGTTCCCATGCTCTTTAGGATTCACTCGGAGGGCAGCCTTGTGGATGGCCCCGAAGCAAGCCTGATGGAACAGGACAGAACCAGTCATGTTGAGGGCAACAGACTAAATCCATTCCTGACACCATCTCCTTCTCCCATTTGCCAGACAGAACCTCTGGCTATAAAGCTCCAGAATGGAAGCCCATTAACAGAGAGACCTTATCCAGAAGTCAATGGAGACACCAAGTGGCAGTCTTTCAACAGTTCTTATGGAATACCCCATATGAAGGGAAGCCAGAACAGTCGTGTGAGTCCGGACTTTATACAAGAAGGCAGGGGGTATTCCAAGTGTTTGCAGAATGGAGGAATAAAACGCACAGTCAGTGAACCTTCTCTCTCTGGGCTCCATCAGAACAAGAAATTGAAACAAGATCAAAAGGCCAATGGAGAAGGAAAGAACTTCGGGGAAAGCCAAGAAAAAAATCCAGACAAAGGCAGCAGTCAACCAAATGTCTCCAATTCGAATGATACGAGAGAATCTGTAAGCTCTGTGGCCCCAGAAAATGCAGTTCAAGATCTCACCAGTTTCTCAACACATAACTGTAGTGGGTCTGAAAATCCAGAGCATCAGATTCTGAATGAGCAGGAGGGAAAAAATGCTAACTACCATGACAAGAACATTATATTACTTCTTAAAAACAAGTCAGTGCTAATGCCTAATGGTGCTACAGTTTCTGCCTCTTCCATGGAAAACACACATGGTGAACTCCTGGAAAAAACACTGTCTCAATATTATCCAGATTGTGTTTCCATTGCGGTGCAGAAAACCACATCTCACACACATGCCGTTACCAGCCAGGCTACCGATGAGTTGTCCTGTGAGATCACTCACCCATTGCATACCTCAGGGCAGACCAATTTCCCGCAGACCTCGAACTCGGAGCTGCCTCCAGAGCCAGCTGCAGTGGTGACTGAGGCCTGTGACGCTGACAGTGTCAGTAAACCAGCGGCAATGCTAGGTACCTGTTCCTTTCAGAAACCAGAACAAGACTCGGTTTTCGAGATACACCCGTCTCCTGTAGAAAACAGTACCATCCAAGGAACCACAAAGCTAGTGTCTGGTGAAGAATTCTCTGCAGGTTCCAGCAGCAATTTGCAGGCTGCTGGTGGCAGCTCTGAACGGTATTTCAAGCAAAATGAAATGAATGGTGCTTACTTCAAGCAAACCTCAGTGTTCACTAAGGATTCCTTTTCTGCCACTATCACACCACCGCCATCACAGTTGCTTCTTTCTCCCCCTCCTCCTCTTCCGGAGGTTCCCCAGCTTCCTTCAGAAGGAAAAAGCACTCTGAATGATGGTGTTTTGGAAGAACACCATCATTATCCCAACCAAAGTAATGTAACTCTTTTAAGGGAGGTGAAAATAGAGGGTCAACCTGAAGCACCACCATCCCAGAGTCCTAATCCATCTACATATGCATCCAACTCCTCTCTGGCACTTCCAGAAAGGCTTCAGAATAATTGTGTTAACAAGAATGACCTACGGACTCCTGGGCCAATGACTATTCCATTGTGTTCTGAGAAAACAAGACAAATACTAGACCATCCCAAGCATAACCCATCAAGTCTTGGTATGAGTGGAGTTCCGCGGGACCTCTGTCAGCAGCTGGTGGGACACAACGAACAAGAGATTCTGAAGGGTCGAGACAAGCGACAAACACTAGATCTTGTGCTCCCAACACAGCCCCAACTGAAACCAGGATGGATTGAATTGAAGGCCCCTTACTTTCATCAAGCAGAATCTCATCTAAAATATAATAGAGCATCAATGCGGTCAGTTCTTCAGTATCAATCCAACTCTTCCAATCAAATGACCTCCAAACAATACACTGGAAATTCCAACATGCCCGGGGGGCTCCCAGGGCAAGCTTACATCCAGAAAATGGTGCAGCCAGAGCAGAGGCCACAAAGGTACCAAGTTGACATGAATCAAGGGCAGTCTCCAGGTACAGTGGACCAGCATCTCCAGTTCCAAAAACCCTCACTCCAGGTGCACTTCCCCAAGACAGACCCTTCCCTCGAAGCTCACGTGCAGTCGCTTTGTACCCCGAAATTTCATTTTCAACAAAGACCAGATCCCCACACTGAGAAACTCGTGCCCTCATCATTAAAGCAGCACTTGAATCAGCAGGCTTCAGAGACTGAGCCCTTCTCAAACTCAAACTCACACCTTTTGCAACATAAGCCTCATAAGCAGGCAGCACAAACACAGACTTCCCAGAATTCACATCTCCCTCAAAACCTGCAGCAGCAGCAAAAATTACACATGAAGAATAAAGAACAAATTCCCCATACTTTTTCTCATCCCTCAGGCAACAGTGATCAGCAAAGAGAAGGCTCCTTCTTTAGTCAGATTAAAGTGGAAGACTGCTTTCATGGTGAAAATCAGTATTCAAAATCAAGTGAGTTTCAGACTCATGACACCCAAATGCGATCAGAGCACATACAGACTATGAATAGTAGAAATCCCGCCTATGGTCAGATCTTGAAATCAAGTGCAAGCAAAGTACAGATGTCCTGTGCAAACAACATTCACCTAGTTTCAGAGAATACAGAACAGACTATAAATCCTGAAATTTTTGCAGGAAACAAGACCCCAAACTTGCATCACATGCGGTATTTTCCAAATAATGTGACCCCAAAGCAAGATGCTCTCCACAGGTGCTTTCAAGAACACGAACAGAAGCCTCAACAAGCTTCAGTTCTACAGGGATATAAAAGTAAAGACCAAGGTGTGTCTGGTCAACAAGCTACACAACTCACTCAGCAAAGGTGCCTGATGCACAATCGAGCAAACGCTTTCGCTGTGCCCGACCAAGGAGGAGGTCACCTTCAGGCCCCTCCCCAAAAGGACATTCAAAAGCACGCTGCTCTCAAGTGGCACCTCTTACAGAAGCAAGAGCAGCAGCAAAACCAACAACCCCAAACCGAGCCTTGCCATAATCAGGCACACAGGCCCATTAAGGTTGAACCTGGATCCAAGCCCCATGCCTGTATGCACCCCAAGTCAGCACAGCCAGAAAACAAGATGTGGAAAAAGATAACTAAGCAAGAGATTCCACCTCCGAGCTGTGATAATGTGCAGCAGAGGAGCATTCTTGAGACCATGGAGCAACATATGAAGAAGTTTCAGGTCAAATCTTTATTTGACCATAAGGCTCTTACTCTCAAATCACAGAAGCAAGTAAAAGTTGAAATGTCAGGGCCAGTCACGGTTTTAACTAGACACACCACTGCTGCAGAACTCGATAGCCACACCCCAGCTTTAGAGCAGCAGGCAACTCCTTCTTCCGAAAAGACACCAACCAAAAGAACAGCTGGTTCTGTTCTCAATAATTTTTTAGAGTCACCTTCCAAATTACTAGATACGCCTATAAAAAATTTATTGGATACACCTGTCAAGACTCAGTATGATTTCCCCTCATGCAGATGTGTAGGTAAGTGCCAGAAATGCCCCGAGACACATGGTGTTTATCCAGAATTAGCAAATTCATCCTTAGATATGAGATTTTCTTTTCTTCTTCTTAATTTTGAGTCTGGCAGCTATTTGTAAAGGCTCTTAAAATCGGAAGCTTACATTTCTTGTCTTTGAATCACAAATGCTTGTGCTCTGCAAGAGAGAACTTCACTTAGTTCAGTTTTTTCAGAATTTTAAAACAATTGTGCATGCTCATTTTCCCCTGCATTCAAACCCTTGAAAACATAAAGGTATCTGTTTGAGATGAACCAATCTATTTGTCTTTATATATCATCTTCTGGAGAGACAGCCAGGCAGGAAAAACATCTATTAAAGTGAGAAAATTAACTGTCATATGCAAACAAATGTAGAAGCTTTTAATATTTTTTAATTCTAGGCTGAAGGTGTTAGTAGTTTTACAAGGCTCATGTCTAGATAGGGAGACATTGTCTTTAGTCCTGGTGAGTTGGGGGAAATTGTAAGGATGAAGTTCTGAATATTCATGAGGTCGCCCTTTGTCCTTATACACTTGAAAGATTATGTGGTTTATATTCATTTTGATCCTGTTTTCTCATGGAAGTTTTCTTATTTTGATAGAAAATGTGTTATTTCCTTTTTTAAAAAAACAAAAACACCTTTTTGTTAAGATTCAAGATATGTGACAGTTCTTTTGGAATAGGGAAACATTTTGCTGATGGATACAGATTATATATATATATATATATATATGAAGATCTTAATCATAGCTACTCAGCGTGGATACAGTAGAAGACATTTGCAAAAACAAATGTTAAACCCATGTGGTTAATGGTCCGCCCACCCATGTTATTCCTTTTATGACCAGACACCCTGCATTTTTATAAGCAAATGGAGGGAGGATACCCACTGGCCCTTTGTGTGGTCAGTGTTAGGTTCTCTCACTGGGCTAAGTTCCACATACGTCATAGATAACATTAGGTAAGTTACAATCGACTCCACTCCGTTCTCCTATCACCCTAACCAACCCCACCACCATTTCATCTTTGATAGTTTGCAGGAGTCTTTTCCTCTTACCTGACCCCTTCTCCAGTATTTTTTTCTCTTCAAACATTGTTCTAAAGTACATACCAATATGGGTCTGGATTCATTGTTCTTATTTTCAAAACAGAGTAATTCAGTATTGTGTGGAGACAAGAGGAGAAAAAAGGTATTTTGACAATAAACTGAGCAATCTCCTAGGGGTGAGATAAGACAGGCAATTCTGTTTTCAATCTTTTAACATCCAAGTAGCAGGCAGAATGCTAGTCAGCTGTAAAAATAATTTTTTTAGTTTAAAAAATTGTAGTTGATATTACATATAATATAATTCCCACACTGTTTTCTTTGTTTAGTTCCATGCGTTTGGTATAAAATAATTTCTTATCCCATATCTGAAATGTAATTTAATATATTTTTATCCAACAGCCAACATGTACATATACTTAATTATTTTGCACATTTTCTAATAGATGACGCCAATTTACTCATTCGAAAGAAAAAAAAAATGTGTAAAGTCACATTTAGGGCCCTTAATGTGCAGTTGGGGGATAAGCTTTGTGGATGTAGCCTTTATATTTAGTATAATTGAGGTCTAAAATAATAATCTTCTATTATCTCAACAGAGCAAATTATTGAAAAAGATGAAGGTCCTTTTTATACCCATCTAGGAGCAGGTCCTAATGTGGCAGCTATTAGAGAAATCATGGAAGAAAGGTAATTAACGCAAAGGCACAGGGCAGATGAACGTTTATCCTTTTGTATATGTCAGAATTTTTCCAGCTTACCCATACGAAGCAGTCAACAATTGTAAATTGAGTAATTATTAGTAGGCTTAGCTATTCCAGGGTTGCCAACACTACACACTGTGCTATTCACCAGAGTCACAATATTTGACAGGACCCAGAGTCTGCGAGCTGGCACAGGCTGCCCACTTTGACATGGATGCCAGAAAACCCAGGCATGAGCAGGAACCAGCCAGCTTGCCTGCCAGGCACAAGGGTGCTGGCACGAGCTGCAAGGAGAGGCCCCACTTTGGCTCTCGCACTAGGTGATAAAGTGTCAAAGAGGAAATGGGGCGAGTGTGGGGTAAGAAAGGAACCTTTGAGTTAAATTCACCTGGAGTTGTAAAGGCGTAGTCATCTCTAAGGAAGTTGTCCCTCGGTGTGAGCAAAGGGTAATTGTGATAGACTGCAAGACTGCATAGAAATAGACATTCTATTTGTAGCTGAATTTTTTTTTTTTTTTTTACTGTCAGTCACAGGTATGCAAGTATGTACCTGAATCTACATGTAGAAGAGTCTTAGGAGCAAGATAATCAATGCAGAGAGACATTCATATAGGTGTCCACAGCTCTCGAGCTGTTACTATGCTAGGATGCCTTTTCTTTAAGAGGTAGGCAGTGTTGTTATTAAAATACATTAGGAGACAGTCTGGGCAGCAAGGACATTTGCTGGACAAATGATATTTCACATCATTTCTTGCCCCATTTCCAAATTAGGCTTTTTTTAAAATTAGAATGTAGAAATTCACTAAATAATCACTTAGTACCTTTTTTTAAAAAAATTAACAAGTAGTAAGTAGTACCTTGGTCATAAAGGAAACTATAATCTATTTCTAGAACTATCCTCTATTGTCAGCATTGCTGGATACTAGTTATTTGCCAGCTTTCTTTTTAAAAATACGAGAGGTTCTTTGAGGAACAGTTCTTACTAAAATCTAGTATGATTCCCTAAGTTTTAAAATAGCTAATTTTAGTCAAGAACAAAAAATCATGTAGTATATATCTTAGAAGACTGAATTTAGCAAACTTAAAAAAGTCTTGTGCTTTGTGAAGTTATGTATAAAACTAAGTTTTCCCATTATTTTCACCCAACATGTAATTTCAAAATAGTTCATTACGATTATCAGTATATTTTGATACTGAATAAAAACAAGGCTTAAAGTCTATTATCCAGTTTACTTGGCATAGACCTGTTTTTGAAAAAATTAATTAAACTATTCATTTCTCAGGATGTGGTAATAGAATAAAAGTATGCTCAAATGCTCAATATTTTGAGTGCTTCTTAAATTCATTTGCTAATTTTATGTGTGTGTGTTTCTGTGGATTTCTTTAAGGTTTGGACAGAAGGGTAAAGCTATTAGGATTGAAAGAGTCATCTATACTGGTAAAGAAGGCAAAAGTTCTCAGGGATGTCCTATTGCCAAATGGGTAAGTGTGACTTGACAGGGCTTTTGGTCTTCAGTCTTGGGCATTTTGATTCATTAATCTAACCCTGAGAATTGGGTTACCCAGATCAAACAGTCTATTTATACCAGTTAAAAGATGTATTGCTTATATTTATTTCATCATGTGTTATCTCTTAAGAAAAAGGCAGATTGGTTTTATAATCATGTACTAACCATATTTAATTGAAAGAATTGACTGGTGAGGAGGAGACCCATTCAAGTCCCTATTACAAGTATAAATCGTCCTTTAAATGACTTCAGTTCATCTTTATATTGTCATTTATGAAAACCTTGACCTTTATGAAAAAGAACTGCATGTCTTCCCTCTAGCTCTGTGGCATTGCCCTCAAGTACTGGGTATACAGTAGCCCTAAACATTGAGCATTTTTCCATCTCTCACAGTTCTGACCCCGGGATAACCGCCCCCCCCCCCCCAGATGCAGGTGGTGGTAAATGTTGCCCTAACTATGACCCAGACATGAGAAAATATACCTACATAAATCAGTGCTGACATCTGCTGCAAGTGACCCTTGTTTTGTTTTGGTTGGGGTGGGGGTGTTGGGGTGAAATGGTGACCCCCACAGGTGGTGCGCAGAAGTGGCATTGAGGAGAAGCTACTCTGTTTAGTGCGGGAGCGAGCTGGCCACACCTGTGAAGCTGCCGTGATTGTGATTCTCATCCTGGTGTGGGAAGGCATCCCACTGTCCCTGGCGGACAGACTCTACTCGGAGCTCACCGAGACGCTGCGCAAGTACGGCACGCTCACCAACCGGCGCTGTGCCCTGAATGAAGAGTAAGTGAAGCCGGGCCCCTGCGCTCTTTCCACTGATGGGAAAGCCTGATCCTTGGTTACAGGGAAGAGAGTTGAACCTGCATTTTTACCGGTATAAATGGGGATCCAAGTGCCTGCTTCACAGTCACGCAGTAGGAGGTTGTGTTTGCTAACATGGACAGCTGGAGGTGATTTCATTAACATTTTGTATCTTCAGACAGTGCAGCCATTAGCTGAGTGTCTGTGCCCACGTGAACTCAGTCCCAGCACAAACCTGAAAATTCTTGCGTGTCCACTTGCCACAGATGACAGAGTGTCTGGCCTTAACATTAGTAAGATTTGACGCCAAGATTTGACGCCACTTCTGAGGGGCAGTGTTTGCAAAAGAAAGGACGTTCGGTGAGAAATTTTAGAATTCCCAGGTGAAGGACCTTAACTGTATATGTAGCAAACAAAATACAAGGCCTGTAGTAGGGGTTACAGAGAACCAAGCTGATTTTGACTTCTGTTTAATCTGGTTCATTATTTCCACGACAGTAATCAAAATTGCTTCCATTTTTACTCTGACTGAATAGTCGAGAATTTATTGGCTATGGATAAGCATTTTTGTCCCCAGAGTTATAAATATTTGGAACAGAAGAACAGGGGTTTGCACTTAAGTACGTTTAGTGCATCTAAGTGTTTGTATGTTTTTGTGTCTTATGTTTGTTTTCAACCCCCTCTACTTTCAGGAGAAAGCTTCATTTTGTATTATTCTTCTGCTGTGCTACCCTTGATAACATTCAGGGTAATTCCCGTGCTACACTGAAATCCTTCGGTACTTATTTTACTCACAATTCTAAAATAATTTCAATTTTGCATTTCTTCCTGTAGTCTCCTTTCCTCTGTATTCACCAAACTGCAAAATGGTTTACTGAGCTTTTAGAAATACCACTGCTCACTGCAATGACCCATTGCTAATCAAATTTGTTTTTTCACTCTAACTGCTATGGTTTTACCATCTTTATCTTAAAAGAGATTCTCTCACCCTGGCCGGTTTGGCTCAGCAGTGAGAACACCTGCCTGCCTACCAAAGAGTCGTGGGTTCGATTCCGGTCAAGGGCACGTACCTCAGTTGTGGCTCGTCCTGGCCCTGGTCGGGTTCATGCAGGAAGCAACCAGTCAGTGTGTCCCTCTCACATAGATGTTTCTCTCTCTCCTCCCTCCCACTCTATCTGAAGATAAATAGAAAAATATCCTTGGGTGAGGATTAAAGAAAAAAAAAGGAATTCTCTCTCTGGGTCATGAGGGAGTACAAATCAATTATAAATAATATTGTTTAAGAAAGTTAGTTTTTCTACATGAAATTGTTACTTGGCTTTCTATGGTAGTTACAATGCAAAAATGTCATAGTGTGTACCTCACTGCCATTAATCCACTCTCACAAAATGATGGTGGAAGGTTGAAATTCCTGGTTCATTGCACACGACTCAAACTTACGATGGACGGCTTTAGGTGTAACATACTGTTCACTTTACATCCACTTCCCTGTTCCTCATTGAAAATGTACTTTGGTGCCTTTAGTCAAAAAGAAAATGAAAGTTAAAGCACCTTGAGCTAATTGTTGGTGATAGCATTTTTCTGAGAAATTCAGTGACACTGCCTTGTGTTTTGAAAGCAGACTCCCTCTGAAACGTGATGGCTTGAATTTCTAAACCACTGAAGAACTTGTGAAAATGACAGTTGTTTTATTTAAATTTCTTAAAGTTTCATGCAAGATACATTTCACGTTCTTTGTCATTGGTTTAATTTTCATTAATATTATACATCTCTGATATGTTTCCTCTTAAGGCTTTTCTTTCATTTTTATAAATGTCCTTGCCTGCAATGGAATCTGACGTATAGGAAGAAATTCTGTGTGAAGAACTCTCCTAAAATGTGTTATTTTGCATTTGGAAACCAGAACAACAAACGGGCCAGTGTCTAAGAAAAATTATAATTGGTCTCAATAGGAGGCATGTTCAAAACTATTAAAAGATATACTTCAAATATTAAGACATTTTAAAGGCCAAGCTATAAACTTTTGCTTATCTTTGTCTAGCATTTCAAAGTGAATCTGAGTAACTATTTAGATGAAATTTTAACTCTGGGCTATCCTCCAAATAGCAATTCTCCAAAAACTGTACTTGGGAAACATGATTAAAATAGACACTTAACCAGTGGTGGCAACAGAGACTTCATACAGATAATACTTTTGAAGTTTCTTCTACCCCACAAAATAAATTTTATGTCTGGCCGAAGTTAAAATTATGACTTTTTGCCAAGAACATAGGATAACATCAAATTGGAGCTGCTGACCCAGTTTCGTGTTCAAAGCTGCGCGAGCCTCCTCACTGAATTCTTACAAATCCCACTGCCCACATGTACCATAACCACCCACAGCGAGTCCAGGGAGGAACTCTGAGAGCAGCTTTCAGTGGGACGGTCAGAAACAGATTTTTACATTTCCCAAACCAGCTGTTCCTCCTTTAAAGATTTCCCTTTGAGATTTCCATTTTATGACTAAAGCTAACCAATATTTTTTTGGCAAGTTAAGTGTTGTGGGAGTGTACCTGTCATTATAAGAAAGTCAAAGCCAGAAATGCCTTCTGCTGTGCTGGGTGATGTTAAACTTTTAAAGAAACTTCACAGACTGACAGCTGTCAGAGGGGAGGGGTGAAAGGGGCAGGCTGGGTGTAAAAGGGGAAGGGATTAAGCAAAAAAACAAACTCATAGACACAGATAACAGTGTGTGATTACCAGCGGGAAAGGGGGCTGTGGGGAGGCAGGAGAGGGTAAAGGGGAATAAATGGTGATGGAAGGAGACTTGACTTGGGGTGGTGAACAGACAATACAACTTACAGATGATGTATTATAGAATTGTACACCTGAAACCTATATAATTTTATTAACCAATGTCACCCCAATAAATTCAGTAAAAAAAGAAACTTGATTTACAGAAATTTTTAAGTGTACATTAAATGGAGGTATGTAGTATAACAAATCCCTATGGACCCATCACACAGCTTCAACATTTTATCAACACTGTTTCATATATTTTCTCCACACAGTGTACTTTCGCCCCCACCCCCAGTGTTTTAAAGCGAAACACAGATACCTTATTACCTCACCTAAGTACACTGCAGTGTGTATCTGTAACAAATAAGGACTTTTTTTTAACAAAGCCTAGTCGCAGTGTCATTATAATTAGCTTTAAAACTGACCTTTTTTTTTTTTTTAATCATCCTCACCCGAGTACATTTTTCCATTCTTTGTTCAGGTAGAGTGGAAGGGAGAGAGAGGAACAGAGAGAGAGAGAAACTTCGATGTGAAAGGGGCACATCGAGTGGTTGTCACCCACACAACCAACCGGAGCCAGGGACAAACTGCAACCAAGGTACATGCCCTTAGTGGGAACTGAACCCGGGTCTCTCCGGACCGCAGGCCGACGCTCCAACCGCTGAGCCAAACCTGACCATTTTGAATATAGTTTAATGTTCGGACCATGTTCAAATCCCAGAATTGGATGCTGTTTCCAAAAAAAGAAGAAGAAAAATATTGAGAAAACAATGTCCACGTCTTGCGTTTGATAGATGCTTTTGAGTAGAGTGGTTCCAGGTCATGTCTATTATTTAGCAAAATTGTTTAAGAACTTTCATTCTCAGAAGTGTTCCGTTTTGGAAGATAAGTTATATAATTCACAAACCCTTTTTTATTTACAATAGCCTCCCTTTCTTATCCATGAATTTATTTGTTAAAGAAACTATATGATTTGCTCTGTAAAATTTTCCATATTCTAGATTTGGCTGATTGCACACTAGTTTTATTTAACTTGTTCCTCTATCCCCCGTATCTTTTGTACACTGGTAGTTTGAAACTTAAGTAACATATGTATACATTTATGTATATATTGGTAAAAATGCCTCATAAGTCGTGGTGAAATAGTCTTAGTTCTTATCTATCAGGCGGGACATACCTCTGCTTTGCTTAATTTATGGTGATGTTAGGAGTGTTCAGTTAGTTCAGGAGTTGTCAGCTTGATTTATCTATCATGAAGTTTCCCAGGAAACTTTCACCTGATGATTTAATGCATCCATTGATCATCATTGCCTGTTTCCATTATTTTGTTCTAGTTTGCAAATTGATAATTTTATTATTTTTGACGTATAAATTTAATTATATGCATTTAATTTATTTCTGCTTGTTTATACTTGCATAAGTGTAAATAGCTGAACTAATCTTTAATTTTTTTTCCATAATTAGAAGTCCAAATGTAACTCAAAGGTTGAGAATGTTTTTAAAAATTGGTTGCATAGATAAGTTGTTTTACTATAGTTGCTCTACTGATTTATCATTTAACCGTGAGCCAAATACTGTGTCATATTAAAATGAGGCTGGTATGTGCTAATTCTAACAATATTTGAAAGGCTCCTATAGAAATAAAAATGCCTTTTAGTAGCTACTTCACATAGGAAATCACCTTGAAGTCATTCCAACTTGTTATATAGGGATATTTTTGAGGTGTAATTCACATCCCATAAAAGTACAATTCACTGGTTTAGTATAGTCACAAAGTTGTATATTTCATTACTCCCAAAAGGAAACCCTGTTCCCATGAGGCAGTCACTTCCCCTTCTCCTCTCCCCTAAATGTCAAACACTAATCAACTTTCTGTCTCTATGGATTCACCTATTTTGGGCATTTTATATTAGTGGAATCATACAATATTTGGCTTTTCTGACTGGTATGTTTTACGTTGCATAATGTTTTAAGGCTTCATCCGTCTCATAACATTAATCAATATTTTATTTATTGTTATGGCTGAATAGCAGTCCACTGTGTATATCTACCATATTTTCTTTAACCATTCTTCAGTTAATGGACATTTGGGTTGTTTCCACTTTTGCTTATTATGAATAATGCTGCTATGAAAACCTGTGTATAAGTTTTTGTATAGACATGTTCTCATGGGTATATACCTAGGAGTGACATTGTTAGTCACA